TCCACCAAAGTTCTACCAGCCCGTCGTGCTCCAGACGAGGGTTCCACCACCAATTTTCCACCAATTTCTTCGAGGGTGCAGCGTGGTCCGGGGAAGGTTCCACGAGGGTTCCACCAGGGTTTCACCACGGTTCCACCAGCGGTCCGGGCTGGTTTCAGGCAAGGTTCCATGAGGGTTCCACCAGAGTTAGGTTCCATTCCAGCACGGTTCTAGCAGGGTCCCACGAGGTTCTGCGGGGGCTGCGGGGCGGAGGTTGTATGAGGTTTTCAGGGTTCCACAAGATTCTGCGAGGGCTGAGGTTTCACAAAGTTCCACAAAGCTCTGCAAGGATTCCACACGGGTTCCACAAGGCTCCACAATGTTCCACCAAGGGTGTGTCGTGCGCCCGTCGTCTGAAAAGCCATCGGATCAAGATCGCTTTGCTCATGGGCGGAACACTAAGCAAAACCGAAATCAATGGTTTTTAGCACACTTTCACTGTTTTGTGAATTGCTCACTTGCTCAGGCAAATGTTGGCTTTGTGACAAGAATTCCACGAGGCTGCGAGGGCTATGAGGTCAGAAGGTTTCCACCAAATTCTGCAAAAGCTATGGGGCAGCCTGAGGAAAGGTTCCAAAAAAGTTTCACGCTGAGCTCCACGAAAGTTGGTTTGCGAGGTTCACCGGGCCCGATTGCACTGTCGGGGCCCGATTGCACCGTTTGGGCCCGATCGGCCCCGATTGCGCCATCGCGCCCCCATCGGGGCCCGACTCAGTCGGGCCCCGTCAATTGTACCAAGCTGGCATCGCCTAGTTTTGCTATAGATACAGTTGCATTCCGCACGCTAAGGAAAACCGGCGTTGAGCTATAATATGGGTGGCTGGGGTTGCACCACGGGACGATCGGGGCCCGATCGCACCGTCGGGCCGATTGCGCCGTCGGGCCCCGATCGGGCCCCGATCGGGCCCCGATTGCGCCGTCGGGCGTGGTGCTGTTGGGGACATCGCCCGAGCTCATTTTTTTTTGGTTTGGGGGGGGGGGGCGTCATTTTGCACCTCAAAAAGAGAAGCAAGGATAGAGCGGAGGAGGATTCTCTGGGGATTCTCTGTTCTTTTAATGGTTTCTCCCCTTTGCTAGGTTTTGAAGGAGATGAAGAGGACACAAAAAAACGACACCAGCCATTTTGGGGTCCATTTCCTCGTTGTTAACCATGGCTTCTTAAGTGTTGCGATGTCTGGATTTTGCAACCATCCACAGTATTTCATCAGTTGGCCCAACCCTGAAGGCAGCAGCGCAGAGGGCGCGCACGCTGCAGCACCCCGACGCGTGGGGCAGGTGAGTCCATGGGGTTGGGGTGCCAGGTTGGGGTGAGCTTGATGATGTGGAGGGGCTTCATGCAGCGGTTGCAACCTGTATGCCACGACAAAGTCGCCAAAGCAGACCTCCAATTCCTGGCAAACGAAAGCGGCAAATCCCTGGTGATATAGAACGCAGTTAGGTGAAAGGGAGGGGTGAGAATAAGAAGAGATGGCTAAAAAGAGATGCCATTCCTCATCCTTCCTCCTCGCTCACTTTGTTCGCGAGTAAACAGGATGGACATCCATTACCAATCAATTTCTGCATGTTTCTTTAGTTGCCATATAATCCCCTTCCCGATCTCGCTTCTTTCATCTTCTTTTCTATGTGCTGAGACAACCTGTTGCATCTCAGGCAAGAGCTTCCGCATCATCTTCAGGATGCCGCTCGCCGTGAGGTAGCACTGGGCAGCTGGCAGGAATACGGGAGTTGTCTTAGTCCGGAAAGGGTCGACAAAATGTGTTTTTTCTTTTCTTTTTTTTGGGGGGGGGCAAATGGACCTCGTAATGGTCTTACAACCTCGCGCTTTTACGTCTGTTGGCGTGAACATGTGGCTCCTTGGAAGTAATGAGTTGCCCAGGAGGCAAACAAAAAGTGCCCAGCAACTCAGTAGCAAAGAGTTGGATTTGCTCCATCTTTCTGCCAGGGCTCCTTTTCAGCCACGGAAGGCTACTTGAGAATGGTCGCTTCTTTCGATCAACTCCGGCAGACCCGTTCCAGCAATTGCCGTTTGGGGTTGAGCTTTCCCATGAGTATCTAAGTTTACTAAGCTCAGCCAACCTCCAGCGGAGGGCATCCCCCCATATTCCAGTGGAAAACCAGACGATGGACGAGAAGAAGGCTACAGGGCAACAATTCCAGAGGCTTTAGGTGACCAAGTGCTTGCTTTTACCACACAAGTAGGTAACTAGGTATTTTTGCCTCTAGGCTCTAGGTTTGAACTGATGGTGTCCGCTGGTTACCTACGACTAGTTTTGTGGCAACTGGCAGCACTGGGTGATGAAACTTCTGACTTTGGGTTTTGCGAACCGTTTGAAGTGATTTGGTTGCAGTCCGTCTCTTTGCCCTGTTTAGGCACCACACAACCCACGTCAAGGATGCCCCCTTTTGCCAAACCTTGACACAAATTCCTGCGGGTGCTTACAACAGGGGGTGACAACCCCAACTTTCAACGGGCGCTTGGGTAGGTGTCAAAACAGGGGGGGTGCCACAAATTGGTTTTCCCTTTCGATTTCCCTTTAAATGAACCTTGGAAAGGGAACCCTCGTGCACACCCATTTGTTCAGGCCCCATGTTTACAAGTGGCACCAACCTGAATTGCTGCGCTCCAAGGAAGCTGCCACTCTGCCGAGACCAGAGGCGGGAGCTTTGCGTGTGTCTTGGGATCTGCCTTGGTGCGAGAGATGCAGGGAATGAGAAAGGGAATGACCCTTATAAACCATCCAAATGGTGGTTTCCTTTAAGGGGGGGGTTCATCCACATTCCCTACCAATCGGACCAGCAAGCTATGGGCTCTTCTGAAGATTGATAGGGCACTTTGCCCTTGCCCTACAACCCACCAAATCGGGGCCTGCAATTCTAGGGCACCCCCGGATGGTAAGAGCTTTGCATCCATTTCACCCGTGACCTTGGCCACAATTCGATTCAGTCGACTCTTGGGGAGCAACCCTTGTGTGGTCTTCGGCAATTTCAGCCCGTAAATCTGGGCCCAGAAAAACCTTGGACCCTCACTCTCTAGTTGCGTTTTCTTCAGGTTCGTGAAACATGATTTTCCCAGCACTGGCATACGGTTTGAAAGCAGAAACGACCTGAACACATGCGTGAACTGGTGGCTTAAAAGGGCGGGCCGACCCCCAGTCCACCCACCAGGTAACATCACTTTTCAGCTTCGAAATGAGTTTGCTTGTGGCGGCTATCACCTGACTTGCTTGTCACTTGTCTCCAAAACGTGTCGTTGCCCCGATGCTTTTGCAGGCGCGAGCCGTGCCCACGGAGACAGTTCAACCGCCGGCCGCTAGCGCGGAAATTCCAAGAGAGGACCGAAGCATGTCCTTTGCACACAAGCGGATGCTTCACAAGCCTTGGGGGAGCAACCCCTCCAGTCTCTGGCCGATACACTCAGAGACCACTTAAAAATGAAGGCTAGCCTAAATTATGCTTCACTCACCTCAGAAGACCTTGTTTGTTTTGAATAATCACGACTCACTTCACTAGAAGTAGAAGATTGGAACAGGGGGAAGCCTTTCCGTGATCTGATGGCAACCGGAGCTTAGGGATGACTCGTGGTGCGTCCCTTAGCAGTGACTCATGGCGTTTCCTAAGAATGGAGAACCCCATGTTTGGATGGTTTTGCGGAACCCTAAAGGTAGCCACCGTACAAAGGGGGCTCATAAGTTGAGGCAACACCTCATGTTCCCTACGAGATGCAGACATGGTTGCGAATGGGGGGGGGAATTGCAATGAGGGAATCGGGGATGGAGGATTATAGTTTTTCAAAAGGGTGCTCCAAACCATGGGGATCGCTGGTGTAGGATGACTGCTTTATAGCTTTGCTTCGGCCCTGACATTGGTCATAGTTCCCAGGCCTAGCGGCCTCCACATGAGCAATAAGTTTCTGCCGGTGTTGGGCGTTTTGCTTCCAAAGCAACTGGAGAGTTCACGGGCCAAACCGGAGCCCTGTCATCGCAATTGGTTGCCAGACATTGTGTGAGGTTTTCTGCTCAGATTGCTGCCGTTGCCAGCCTGAGAACGCTCGGCAGAACAGTGCATTGAGGCAGGCGACTCATACGGACCTCACAAATTACGGGAGGTTGCAACCTGACGAGTTTCCTTACTCAGAAAGACCCTCATTGCAGGTTGGTGAAATGAAATAGCTGTAATTTGCCCAGATGGCCTCCGTGGATCTGTGCATTTGTGGCCTAGATGGCCGAGAGCTGCGCTTGAAGGTGGCACCTGACATCCTGGGCAGCGAGTTGCTGCAGCTCGTCAAGTCCCAGCTGCCTGTGAAGCCCGGCTGCGTTCTGCGCCTGACGTTGGGCGGCACGCAGGTTTCACCACACAGATCCTTGTTAGACCTGGGCTTGCCGACCCAGGGTGCTTTTACCTACGCTCGGACCAATCTGCTGGCAGCGTGGGACGCTCTGACAGGACACGCAAGCGACCTTGAGGCTCTGGAAGGTATCACAGGTTTGACTTGGCACAGAGGCAGCGAGTTCCAGGCCGTTCTCGCCATTTTCGACTTGCCCGTCACCTTGCAGAGCTTGACGCTTGGCTATTTGTTCGACCAAAGCCTGAGGGGAATCAATCTGCCCAGCAACTTGCAGAGCCTGACCTTTGGACATCATTTCAACCAAAGTCTACAAGGAGTCAATCTGCCCAGCAGCCTGGAGAGCCTTACATTTGGCGACAAGTTCAACCAACAATTGCAGGAAGTCGATATGCCCACCAACCTACAGAGCCTCACATTTGGCGATGCCTTCAACTCAAGCCTGCACGGAGTCAATCTGCCCAGCAGCTTGCAGAGCCTCACCTTTGGATATAAGTTCAACCAAAGCTTACACGGCGTGACTGTACCCAGCAATCTGCAGAGCCTGACCTTCGGAAATCAGTTTAACCAAAGCTTACAGGGAGTACCTCTGCCCATCACCTTGCACAGCTTGGTGTTGGGCGAGCAGTTCAGCCAAAGCATGGAGGATGTGAGTTTGCCGAGCGCGCTGCAAAGCCTAACGCTTGGTGCGAATCCGAGTCAGCGCAGGGATCGTCATCAGGTGTTTCTTGGAGTCACTTTGCCAGTTCTCAACAGCCTGACGTGCGACCATGCGCTCACCCAAATATTGCAAGGAGTTAGTCTGTCGAGCAGCCTGCGGAGCCTGGCCTTTGGCGATCGATTCAACGGAAGCCTGGAGGGAGTGAGTCTGCCTGGCAGCCTGCAGAGCTTGACTTTTGGCATTGCTTTCAATCAAAACTTGAGGGGAGCTGATCTGCCCAGCAGTCTGCAGAACCTCACATTTGGTGATGAATTCAACCAAGTTCTGCAGGAAGTCAGTCTGCCCAGCAGCCTGCAGAGCCTGACCTTCGGCAGCAAGTTCAACCAATGCTTGCGGGGAGTTGGTTTGCCAATCACCCTACAAAGCCTTACTTTCGGCGATCAGTTTAACCAAAGCTTGAAGGAAGTGAATCTGCCCAGCACCCTGCAGATCTTGACATTGGGCGATCAGTTCAACCAAGCCTTGCAGGGAGTGAGTCTGCCCAGCACCTTGCAAAACTTGACGTTGGGCGATCAGTTCAACCAAGCCTTGAAGGGAGTGAGTCTGCCTTGCTCTCTGCAGAGCCTAGCGCTCGGCAAGAACTTCAATCAAAACTTACGGGAAGCCGCTTTGCCGAGCAGCTTGAAAAGCCTGACACTCGGCAGTTTGCATGACGCTGTGATGCAGAGTCTGTACACGTTTTATGATAAGAACCAAAGCTTAGAAGGAGTGAGTCTGCCCAGTAGCTTGCGGTGCCTGAGGCTTGGCGACACGTTTAATCAACGCTTGCAGGGAGCGAGTTTGCCCAGCACTCTTGAGAGCCTAACCTTGGATGGATTTAACCAAAGCTTGCAAGGGGTGAGTCTTCCCCGCGGCCTGCAAAGCTTGGCCTTCGGTGACAACTTTGACCAGAACCTGCAGGGAGTGAGTTTGCCCAACACGCTTCAGAGTCTGAAGTTGGGCGAACAATATACTCAAAGCCTGCATGGAGTGAATCTTCCGAGCGACCTGCGCAGCATCGATGGCGGCCTCGTCATGGTTTGGCTTTTAGAATCACTCGTGCCTTGACTCAGCCAGCCGGGTTTCACGGCTTATGCCGGATATTGATACACGCGAAATGCCGGCCTTGCACCAGGAACATGATTCGTGGCTGCCCTAAAGTGATCTCAATGCAGGTTGGTTGGCATGTTGGCGAATGCGCATTGGCATGGCTTTTCGTCTGAGCCAGGCAAGACAAGATGTTGGGCTTGCGGAACACCCTTTCCCTTGGGTTTCCAATGGAAACAGACCAAACATGGACATCCCGGCATCCTCATCAAAACGACACACCGAATCACTTGCAGTCCTGAGTTTTCTACCCTTTGTGCCAAGTTTCTGCCAATGGTCCCCACCTTGCAGTTCCCCGAAAAGAAGGAGATCAACGTTTTACCCTTCCACTGCAAGCCAGAGTCATCAGTCCGCAAGTGTTGAATTTTCAGGCGGGCAGATGTCAAGAAGGCAGACTTGTTGAGTCCTGACCATGAATTTAAGGCGGCAATGATGACAGCGGGATCCGTGTTTGACAACTTGGACCCTCTTTGTGAAAACTATGCGGTCGCGGAAAGGGCATCGACACCTATGCTTCTGAACTTTTATTTCTTGCACTTTGTTTTTGTTTGGGGAAAAAGGAACAGAGAGGAAGGTGTTACATGCGGAGTTGTTGCGCATCCACCGTGAAGGCTTTGAAAGGATGAGGCATACGGCGGCATATGGGTCCGTGTTGCGGTCTGATTTCCGATGACTCATTTTTCCTCATCTCCTGGTCTTATCCTTTTCTCACCTGCCAGTAAGACAGTGGGAAGATGGGAATGGAGACAACTTGGAGACCAGTGCTTCACAATATATGTTTCCGCTTCACCGCCTCTCCTTATCTCGGCTTTTCTCAGCTTTGAAACGGGCCTTCTTTCAGCGAAAGGATGCTTTTCCTGCGTTTTGGTGGGTGAAAAGAAGCTCACTGGCTTGGCCCAATTCTGAGTCATATTCTGCCACTGACTTGTGCGACTGTGGTTTGCGGCCCGTCAGAAACCGCCCACTCGCATTTGCAAATTGGTTTGCCATCTGCCGTCACCACAGTGCTGTTCCCGCCAAATGAGTTTATTTACGATGTTCTTGGCACAGAAGCGCACGGCGCAGCGCTGTTGGAAAAGACAAGCACCTTGTAGCTTCCAGTGTGCCACAAGGCAAGGCACGTGAGTGGTCAGAACCGAGGGTTTCACTTCCCGGCTCGGCGAACAAGCGGGAACCATCAAGGGCCAACGCTGTCTCATGTCTCATGCACCGCTTCTCAGCCCACAAGCCAAATGGGAGCCACTCATTTCAGCGATGCCCCAGTTCATAGACATGATGTGTAGCCACCAGGAGCGACGCAATGAGGCAGAGGAGGAGGAGGAGGAGGATGAGGCAGGGTCGGGAATTCCGCCTGTCCCAATTGGGCTTTCTGGGTGCGATTGCCCAAAATGCAGGATACTGGAAAGGGAGGCACCTCCATAAAACTGTCCCCATCCAGGAAATAGGATGATCGGCATCCAAGCAGGTTTCCCTTTTGGTGACCGAACTTTGTTTCACTGGAATATCCAAGATGCCCCGCTACAGGTTGATACGAATAGTTGAAAGGGGATATATGGTTGGGGCAGGCGCTCGTATTCGTTGACTTTTGTCCATCTTGGGATGAATTTGCTTTGGGCCCAAAGACCTTTTAATGAAACATGCAAGGAGCGCAGGCCATCGGTTTGGCCCAATTGAACTTGGTTTGTAGGAGAAGGAATTTGTTGATTCGATGTTGGGCATTTGCAGAAATCCCACAACTTGAGTTGGATGTATGCTACATATCCCAGTGGATCCATTTAGCTGGCTTTGTAGGTAGTCAAGGGAACCAGCCATTAGAGCCCAAAAGGAAAATAGTGAAGGGTTACTATTAGAAGGGTAACTGAGATCCACTGGGTACCCCTTTAATGCGGAGACTCTTTCTGTGAAGTAAACGCTCCTCAACTCAGCATAGGGCCAATCTCGGACTCCACGTTGCCTGCGTTCAAGGCTGATCCTCCCAGAGTTGCCGGCATCGCGATCTAACTGGTGAAAGTTGAGTTGCGCCTGATTCAGTTGGCAATGATGAAGGGCAGAGGGATCGAGCTATTTGTGGTGCTCCCATGGGACAGGCGTAACATTTGATACTAAAGTGATTGGTGACATAAATTCCCATCTAATTGATGTCCACCAAAAGGGCCATCAGGATTTCCAAACTGGGAGACAAAGAGAGACATGACACGGCTTTTTGCAAGTCTGGTCCGCATGTGTCAGGAGGAGGGCTACACCATGGAGGAATGGATGGAGTTTTTTGAGGAGGACCGTGTTGCCTTTACAAGCTGCCATTTACAAACCTTCAGGGTTTTTGGCACTCATTGAAGCTCACCCAGGGTCCCCCAAATTTGAATGGACATATCACCAAAACCCCTAACCGCTTCGGGCCGCGGGCAGTCGCAATTCTGACTCCGTCAGTTTTGGGCAGCCCAATAGTTTGGAACCGGTGTATTTATTTTTACTAGCCCCGGCTCGGGGCTTAACCCCGGCTCGGAGACTGGTTGGTCAGGTGGTTGGTTGGTTGGTTGGTTGGTTGGTTGGTTGGTTGGTTGGTTGGTTGGTTGGTTGGTTGGTTGGTTGGTTGGTTGGTTGGTTGGTTGGTTGGTCTGGGCGGCCGCATCCCCAGCATCCCAAGCATCCCAAGCATTTCCGGTTTCTTGTCACGGCTGCGTATGGGGCATGACTTGATGCTCGGGATAGCCAGCCGCATCGCCAGCATTACTGGCCTCACTCGGACGAGAGCTGCCTATTGGCTTTGATTTGGTGGCAGTTCAGGGTTGATCGGGGCTGGTTTGGGGTGAGTGTTGGGCTTGCTGAGATATTAATGCGGGCGGGTCTTGGGTTTGTTTGGGGTTCATTTAGCCTCGGCAAAGGGCCGATATGCAGGATGCGGTTGGGAGGGTTTCAGGTTGACTTTGGGTCGGTTTTGGCTTGGTTGGGGCTGATTCGTGCTAGATGTGCGGCTGGTTTAGCCGTGGCTTTCGGGTTGCTTCAGGGATGTGGTTCTGCAAGTTTGGGGCCAGGATTGGTGGTTTGGGGCAACTCCTGAACTGCCACCAAATCAAATCCAATAGGCAGCTCTCGTCCGAGTGAGGCCAGTAATGCCGGCGATGCAGCTGGCTATCCCGAGCATCAAGTCATGCCGGCAGCCCAACCTCTTTGGAGGGAGGCCTTATGCCGAGCCGGGGCTAGTAAAAAGCCGGGGCCAGTAAAAAACAACAACACCCCAACCCAATAGTTTCGGGATCACGATGTCAAGCCGCAGTTCAGTGCCCTCCTCCACATTTAATTTGCTTCAGTTGCTTTCCAACCAAGCCTCATAAAGGAGCTGGAGCTCCCATGGACATGTGGCACCTGCCCGAAGTCTGGCGACAACCTCAAGAGCTCTGCATGTTCTTTGTCAAGTGTAAACTTGAAACAGTTGGTCTGGCCTTTGCTTCCTAAGACGTCGAGCATTACGAAGCGCGTGTGTTTTGTTGGGTGTAAACAAGTGAGGGGATTCGGCACCTGTGATATCAACTTCGGATAAGCAGGCCTTGACATTCTAGCGATTCATTCCCCATTCTTGTCAACCATCGTTCTTTTCAAAATCCGGTAGTTTTCTCTGGGTTTCTTGAGGTTTTCTAGAAAGCAAGATCCATGGAAAGAATGGGGCATCTATTGTTAAAGACATGGTGTTTCTTCAGGTTGCTTCGACTTCAGCGGGCTTTTGTCCCGTTTGACGCTTAGCATCTGCTTCCAATCATATTTCGCGCTGGTGTAGCTTGGAGCAGATCAATGTCACCAGACCGTTCAGCTATTTGTAGGTTCTTCCACGATCTCAAGATGCCCCACCCCAAGAGGATAGCTTTTGATCAAGACATCAACCAGTTGATCAATCCTCGGCACCGGCAAATATCCGGCGACTTCGCAGGAAGGTTTGTCCTCCGAGTACCTTGAAGCGATGGAGAAGATCTTTAAGCGCCTGAATCTGGCGGGTCATGTGCCGGTGGATGCCTGGCCAAGATTGAAGCCTGCGTGCATGTATGTTCAGTCAAATGTTTCATGATATTATATGCATGCACTCTTGAATACTTATGTATAGAGTATTGAATGTGGCGTCAGCGACAAGGATGATCATTTATGACCAGGACAACATTTGTTGCGCAGCATCGCATATGCCTGCACGGAGGAACCCCATCCCCCCGTGTGCCCGATAGGGTGGCGCACAATCAAGGCAGACTGCCTAAGTCCAATCAATCCATTACGAGACATGTGAGGATGATAGCACAGGCATAGTGACATGTGCTTGCATGACTTGCTCTAAGCGATGCTCTCCATCTGACATGGTGCGTGTGCATGCCACATGATGCTTAGGGATTCATGCATTCGCTATTCACAATACTTGGTGGTAACATTCTGTAACAATCCAACATGCTGTTTGGCCAGTAAAACACCGGGCGTTCTATGCGTTTTAAAGACTTGTTACTAACTCATGCACTTCAGCAAAGAAGAAGGACTTCATGCGTGATCCAAGCTAGATCGGGTGCAAGAACCCTTGACAGACAATGGTGGGACTCTTGGACAGAACATGCTGACAGCACCTCAAATCGGCCAAAGCATCCTGGCCATGGGTTTACAAACGGTCCGCGGAATCGCGGGGGCTTCAAAGTTTGAAGTCCCCGGGGCAGGGGGGTGACAACTCAGGGGGCAATGCTCGTCACGAATTGTGATCCCCAGCCCATTCCCCTGTCCAAGAATGGAACTTTAAGGACGTTAACACGGAGTTGGGGTATATCAACTTGATCTTTCTGATTGGCACGCACCTCACACACGTCTTGGCACATCTTTTTGGGTGCATGTTGGAAGCTTTCCTTCAACTCCGATCCTTGCAGGCCTTTGCTCGTAAGAGAAAGAGACATTGTGATGTCTTTTCTTCTCTCTGTCTCTCTTTCTCTCTCTCCTTGCTCTATCTCTAGCTCGTCTCTCTTTCTCCAGTCATAAGAAGTGGGTAACACACAATCTCTTCCTTCATGCTCGGCCAAGGCGCGTGCTCCCCATGAAAAGATGCCGGGCCCATGTCGCAGGGTTTTGAGCCCATGGCAGCAACACGACCTTGCGCCCCTTCGGCTTTCCATGACTCGCGCGTCGCTAAGGAGGTCTTGAACCGATGCCTCGAGGACCCAGCCGTGGAGTTGCGGCGCAGCGTTCGACGGGGCCTGCTGGACTTCCTGCACGACGTGGCGTGAGGCAGTCGCAACTGGCGCACCTCTTTGGTGCGGAACCGTGTTCCGCATGTCCTGCACCTGGCGACACAAAAGCGTAGAACTGTGCTGGCGCCTCGAGGAGGAGGAGGTGGAATGGCAGACTGGAAGATCCCCTTCTGTGCTTTTGGAGGAGGATGGAGGCAAAGGAGATCCGCCATGGCGGACCTGTCAACTGGAGATCGGCTTTCCGGAGTCGCGCAGAAATCGGCGCCTTTTTGAAGAAGGAGCTTAAGCCCGACTGCCTCAAGGATGCACTTCGCAGAACTCTTTACCTACCTCTGACTCCAACCGCCGTGGCAAAATAAGGCCGAGCGTCTGTCGAACGCCACAGAACGCAGCGGCCTGTCTTTGGAGAGCGCGTGCCTGCGGTAAGGCATTCGCGCAATGTACATAAAATTCAGATTGGGTCAAATCGAGGGCCCTGCCCATTGCCGGATGTCCTCATTGCCTTTTGACATCAACCGCAGGGGCCCCTTCAAGTCACATACCCTTTTTGAAAGGTTTCTGCCGATTCTCTGAAATCACCTTCTGGCATGAGGCGTGGCCACTTGGCTCCGTTACCTCTGCCTTGGCAGGAAGGGTCGTGGATGGGCTGACGTTTCGGGGGCGGCTTGAAAAGAATGCCGAACGAGCAGGACGAGGGGGGGAACGTGTCACAGTCTTTTGGGCTTGCCTTAAACTGACGGAACTGGCAACATAAGTAGTTTGCCTTTGCTTTCCCTCAAAGCCAATCCCGAAGGGCTGCCCCGAAAAAGACACCTTTGACCACGTTCGATAGCCATTGCGCTTCGTCAATGACTGAAATATGACTGGAGTATGGGCTTTTCTTTGCAACCGCTGACAGCCACCCAGGTCTGGAAGAGCGTTTCGGTGCGGTCGGTGTATTTCTTCATCGTCCACTACAATTCGTGGGAGAAACCAGACCGTCAACCTTCATTCAATGGTCTATAACGGGCATATTTCAGAGAGTTCGACATCGTGCTGCAGCAGCCCATTTGTCCATCTCATCTCTCCGAACCATTCAAGTTGTTTTAGGCCCGCATTTAGTCTCAGTTTCAACAGGTCCCTAAGAATTGGGTTCCAAGGCGTGGAATGCGTGACCATGGCCGTGATGTCTTGGCTGGGCTGTCTGACAGAATGGTCATTAAGTACTCGTCCCTGCTCCGTTTCCATCAAGGAACCACGGAGATTGGCCAGCCCGTCACTAGAACCAAAGGTTCTGGCCAACTTCCGCAAGGCTCCAATTGGAGGTGAAAGGACCGGGGTGGAAAATGGCTCAATGGCTCACTTTAGCTTGTCTTGATGTTTGCTCGACCATTTTGGGAGGCACTCCCCTTTCTATGAACAAATGCAGCAGGTTTCTGGGATGCTCCCATTGGACCAAGGCTCATTTTTCACCCCAACGGGAACAAAGACGCGAGCCCCGCGCTCAGTTGCCTCGTTCTTTAGTTTTGAGCCGAAGCTGCCATAGCCTTAGGATCCTCAGCACCAATGTCAAGACTATCGGTGTTGCTTGAAGGGGAAGTTCCGAGGATCCGTCCGGTCAAGAATACAGTCTATGTGGAGAGGGCAATCATCCACTGCAAGTGCCCAAGGTACGATTTGTTGTTCAGCCTATGGCAAGCAATTGGACAACATCCTTTTCTTAAACAGGGTATCCATTTCGGGGATTGTTGAACATCGGCTTTGGAAGGCCCGCGTTGGTGTTTCGTGAGATATTGTGTGGCATTGACATTTGCAGCTTGTTTGCATCCCCCGTGAAAAGACGCATGGAACAATTCCACAGCCCATTCCTCGCATGATGTTCTTGCGATTTTGCATTTACAACTGGCAACGCTTCCGTGTGGGGGTCTCTTTTCAAGCCTTCCATTTCCCAGGGTGTCAAAGCACAGTGACCTGTTTTGCGCGTTTCACGGAAAGGTGCTCCAAGGCATGCGATTCATGTCCATTTGGGAAGATGTAAGCCGAAGGTTGGGACTTTCCAACTTCTGATGTTTCACAATGTCCCGAAGGTCCCCAAAGGTTCTTTTGGCATCAACTTGGAAGGGATTTCCGGGCGTAGGCTTACCCCGGGCCGTTTTTCTTTGACGCCCGCAATTGCCTTCCGCTGCTAATGTTTTGTTGCTTCCCCGTTGAAAACATTGAGTTCTCAGCATGTCGTCGTCTTCTCGGCAGGCGACGGCTTTTGCTCCATCGCCCTGCGGATTCCCGAGGGGGCCTCCGTCTCGCGGGTGTGGGGCCCAGGGCCCGCCCGGGGAGTGTGGTGGTGGAGTTTTCAGCGGAGATTCAACTGGGAGCCACCCTTGGTGTTATGTTGAAGGCAAATTCGAAAGGACTGCCCCCCTTTCGCGATTTCGGGGGGTGCCGAGTTGGGCGACAAGAGAGGTTGGCGAAGAGTTGTTCGGACAAAATGGGCACCTCGCGCAATTGGTGGCGAGCTGGGCGGGGTCCTCCGATGGTTCTCCTTTTGTTTTTTGTTTGAGGCCACCTCGAAGGTACCCTAAAAAGGACACATCTTTTGTTGGATACATATTCGAACAGAGTCATCAACGTTGGATCATCAGGACCGGCACCTTTTGCAAGCAAGGTAAGGATGTACAATCTTCCACTCGAATTGAATGTTGAAGGTACCGCAGTTGTGTTCGCAGCGGGCTTCGGCGGTCAGAGTGGACATAGTGCTTGCTTCCTGCAGCCCGAGCATTCGATTTGTAAGAAACTGTTTCCTCACCTTTTGTTGTGGTCCCGGCTCTCTTTGCCCAGTTTGTGATGAGCTCACCTTGAGATTTGTGGTTGGTGTTGTTTGGAGTTTGGGCCATTAGAAATTGGACCGACGTTCACCCACCCAGACCACTGGTTGTTTGCGCTGTTTTTTGGCAAGGTGCGCGTGGGCAGGCGGCCGCAAGTGAGGTTCTGTACATCAATCAGAATCAGTTCGGGCCCAACATCGTCAAGCAGGTGCCAAACTTGGCCAGCGTGGGCGGTGGAAGCAAGGTTGAGGACTTCGTTTTCAGGTGAGGTCTGCCGCATGACAAACCAACAAAAGGTTGGCCAATCAACAGATAGGGTGACCTCCAAAACAAGGACCAGCAAGGGAAGAGCCAACGTGGCAACTGTTCATGTTTGCGTTGATGCAAAAAGCGATGTTGCGGCGCTTGCATTTGGGTAGCAAAGGCCCGGTTTTGAAGGCACGCCCAAATGAAACGCGTGGACAAGTGGCAGATTTCAAGCCAAGTGGCACTGCTCTGACCAAAGATGGCTCCTACATGGTGCCGACCATGATTTCTGAAAACTGTTGCTGCGCAACACATTGCGTGCGGCACATTCTCGCTGGCTGTCAGCTGGTTTTCCAACAATGTCCACCAGCCTAGTTTCGCAGTGGCCATGAGGCGAAAAGGGAAGCCGCTTTCGGTTGTTGACTGTCAGTGAGCCAAGGGGACAAAAGGGCAAATCGATGAGCCTCGACAAGGCGATCGAGGGCTACACTGATGCCTGCCGAGTGGCGGCCTCGCACGTCTCAGCTCTTGCTTTCGTGGCTGGTCATGTTTTCTTGGGCCGGCAGGGAGCAGACGGCCGAGGTGCGCCGTATTTCTGGGCAGATGAAACTCTGCGAGTTGCGACCCCTGAAGGAGCTCTTCACAATACCTTGCATTGGGTGAAATATCACGATCCACCATTGGGACGTGAGCCGGCTCAGGGCGGCTTAGGGTCCGACCAAGCGCCACTGAGGTCACCTTTCTTTCGGCGGCTCTGCGCGGCACTGCCGCGGACATCCTGGTGCTGGGTGTGCACGAGGGCCCAGGGGGGGCTAGCCGGGCGGCCGGACCGGAAGAGGGGCCCTGCCATGTTTTGGCACTCAGACTACGGGCTGGCCCAAGAAAACATGTTTGTGCACAACAATACCTGGCGCCTCGTCGGCCCTTGTCAGTCCTTGTCTTGGCGCTTTGCACTAGGAATGCTGCCTCCGACTTGCGAGCTTTCGGCGCAGACCGGGCGTACTCGTGTGAAGGTGGGTAAGATGAAGCCTGGCCAAATACAAATGTGTTTCCTGACTTTTATCCCGCTTCCAGTGATTTCCGGCTCGGATTTGTCAGACAGTTTGATGCACTATGGCCACCGCAGTTTTGACCCGCTTGGCAGCTTGAGATTTTGGAGTGCGTGCGGAGAGAGCAGCAAAGCAATTGCAATCGATATAGGGAAAGAAAACGGTGCCCAGAAACGTTGTCATAGCTATTATGAGTCAGGAAGTCAGAGCTGGAGGTGAATGAATATTGAACGTGGCTCACCGAGGATTTGTTCTCCCCTGCCCCAGTCCTGAGAAACATCATGACCTACTCGCGGTGCTTTTGCTTTTAGGGGGTGCTTTCTTATCCGAAGGGAGTCAGCAGGGCAAGACATCCACAGGCGGGAGATCTACCAGTATGGCTGGGCGGCTGATCCTATGCTGGAGCCAGAGCCTGAGTGCGATTTGATTTTCGGCTATGGCCCATGACAAGAAAGTAGGGAGTCTGTTCCTATTGTTATTTTTTTAGCTTTCCTTACTTCCCAAATTTCGTAGGCCTTCCTGCTCCCACTTCATTTCCTTTCGCTTTCCTTACTCTTGCCTTTTGACACCTGGCAATTAATTTTTGGGGACCACCCCCAAAGTGATTGGTGGACGTGAATCCCCACCTAAATGATGTCCACCGAAGGTCCGAAAGTGTCGTAGAGATACAGCTGAGCAAAGAGGAAACATGCTGACGGGTGTTCCCAAAGTCAGGGCTTTCCACTCCGTGAAATCAGGTAAACCTCCTTTTGGACAGTTCAGCCCGGTTTCATGAAACATGTGGGTTTCAGGAGCACTGACTTGGTTCGTTCACAGCCATTGTTATTACCTACACAGCGGACTAGCGCAAGGAAGTGGCCACTATCCATCCGCCTTGCGTAAAGTCACGTGATCAAGGCCCATTCACGCTAGCGCCCTCATATACCAAATGCACCGTTCACTCAAGGATGTAGATTGATACACTTAGGCCCGTGTGAGATTTGTGTAGACACATAACATGTACATGCACAACCACTACATATATATATATATATAAATACATGGGTTTGTCAAACTACTACTGTGCTGCTGCTACTACTACTAATACAACAACAACTACTACTACTACTGCTGCTACTGCTGCTGCGTACTGCTGCTTAGTACTGCTGTTTAGTACTACTGCTTAGTACTGCTGCTTAGTACTGCTGTTTAGTACTACTGCTTAGTACTGCTGCTTAGTACTACTGCGTAGTACTAGGGCTTAGTACTACTTCTGCTTAGTACTAGGGCTTAGTACTACTGCTTAGTACTACTGCTTGGTACTACTGCTTAGCACTAAGGCTTAGCACTACTGCTTAGTACTACTGCTTAGTACTACTGCTTAGTACCACTGCTTAGTACTACTGCTTAGCACCACTGCTTAGTGCTACTGCTTTGTACTACTGCTTAGTACTTCTGCTTAGTACTACTGCTTAGTACTACTGCTTAGTACTACAGGTTAGTAGTAGTAGTAGTAGTAGTAGTAGTAGTAGTAGTAGTAGTAGTAGTAGTAGTACTCGTAGTACTAGTATTACTGCTGCTCCACTGCTACTACTACTGCCACTACTTCTTCCTCTACTATTGCTGCTAGTACTACGACTACTGCAACTACTACGACTATTGCTAGTGCTACTACTACCACTACTGCTACTTCTTGTACTACTACTCCTACTACTACTACTACTACTACTACTACTACTACTACTACTACTACTACTACTACTACCAACTACTACTACTAGTACTACTACTAGTACTACTACTACTACTACTACTACTACTACTACTACTACTACTACTACTTCTGCTCCTCCTGCTACCGTGACTGATACTACTGTTACTGCTGCTACAGCGAATCATACCCCCGAATCATACCCCCGAAGCATACCCGCGAATCATACTCCGCAGTCAAACCTTCCTGCCCAGCCACCGTAAAGCAATACAATATGTATATAGAATGTGCTTGCGCACGTCGTTCGAACATGTTTGACAGTGCCCCAAGCATATTTTTCAAGGAAAGCCCAAAGGAACCAGCCATATATGTTTGGCTCCAATTGCTGATTTGAGACAACATTGGTATGTGTTCAGGGGAAGCCACATGCAACCAACCATATTTATGGGTTCCAAATCCATGTTGTGTGACGCAGGAAGGTGCTGCTAATTGGCGACGCCCCGGCGGCAGAGATCAACTTCCAGCGCCTCGTTATTCGAGTTGAGCGATGCGTCGGGTTTGGCAAGGGACGACTCGTGCTTCGACATTCGCCACATTTCAATCATTTAAGAGACAGGAGCATTTATGGGCTGGACTCTCTTTAGAGTCATGCAAAGTGTCATTTAGCAGGTCTCCCCCCCCCGTTCGGCTCCAGGAGTGCAAACAAGCGTTGAAGCTAGCTTTCCAGTGTCTTCAAATGGTTGGCGGATGTAGATGATTTCCCATGCAACCAACTGCTATCCACCAAAGGGTCTCTGAGTAAAAGCGTCTCCACATGAATCACTTGGCCCTCTTCACACCCACCGCGCGTGTTGAGCCAAACAAAAACCGGTTGTCTTCTACGAAGGCGCCTGGCTGACCGTTGTCCACAGGATGTGAGAACGCTGGCTGTTTAAAGGGATCAAAATGGAGACAATCATTTTTAGGGGGTATCAAGCTGAAACACCGGTTTGTGTTTCTTCAAGGAGCCGACGCCAAATCGGGCACTGCAATGTTTTGGAGCTGTTCCCGGTTTGACTGTCCGAAATGCTTTTACCAGTTGTTGTGGGATCCGACATTTCGCAATTCGGACTACCTAGCCTTGGCCAAGACGCCCAAATCAAATCAGTCCCCTCACAGGATGCGTGTGGCAGCTCCAGAGATCTTGATCTAGGAAGGGCCATTTTTACATCTCCATGAGTTGCCGTGGACGTGTTGCCGACCTGTTCCTAGGGCCAGGGTCCATCCGCCGTGCCGGGGCTCCGAGGCTGCTGCGGGAGCTCCAAGAGAGGCGAGCGCGGGAGGAGCGCGACAGGCGCGTGGGCGGGGACGGACGCAGTGCCCGGGTCGGCGAGTCAGGAAGCGGTCACTTCAGAAGCTGATGACTCAGATCTTGGATTTTATTTGTTTGTCATCCTTGCATCCTGTCCATGCCGACACACGAGCTTCCAGAAACAGTTCATCCCAGTTAAATTGTTCCTGTGCATTGGAACTTCCTGTTAAGCTTTCCTTGACAAACCGCCCAGAGAGCTTGTGTTGTCTTAAAGGACCCTAACAAATGTGGGGTGACATGGTGTGCTAAAAAATGGGGACACTCGGTCTTTGCGGATTTTGCAGCCAAAGCTTTCTACGACAGAAACCGCAGATGCAGCCGTCGAGGTCAAGTGCTGTGCTCGCCTTTGCTCGCTAGGCTGAAGCAGATTGCTGCAGAAGAAGAGAGGTGCGGCACCTCAGAAGTCTATGCCACGGGTGGGTGGGTGGGTGGGATGGGTGGGTGGGTGGGTGGATGGGTGGGTGGGTGGGTGGGTGGGTGGGTAGGTAGTTGGGTGGGTAGGTAGTTGGGTGGGTGGGGTGGGAAGGGTGGGGAGGGTGGGGAGGGTGGGGAGCGTCCTACAGTTGGGCACCCCTTTCGGTTCGTGCTAAAAAGAAAAGCTGAGGGGAACTCGGCATTTTTGTGGGTCCCTATATAATGTGGCCACCTTATCGACCCCAGCTTCAAACACCCTAAAACCAGGGTCTATGTGTGGACAAGTATACGTAGGGCAATATTTGGCAGTGTGTGGCGTGTAACCCCGAAAGTTTATGCTGTACAATCACGAGTTTAGCAAGCTTTTCTCTGTAAGAATGAACTTGCCAATTTGGCCAGCGACGCAGCAAGCAACAGGCAACCTTAGGGGTCTGGGGGGGGGGAGGGTGGACTGGGGGACTTTCCTTTCGCACAGCTGGCACTCTGAGTGCCAACATCTGATCCGCAAGGTGCCCACCCTGCGCCTTAGCTTGACGGCACCTGAAGCTTCTTTGAACATGCATTGGCCCCATTCTCTAGAGGCAAATGCGATTAAAAGATGGTCTTCCGCAGAAGCAACTGTTAGATTGTGTATTTAGCAAGATCTGTGGGCAACAATTCTTTCATGTCTTAGGAAAGCAGGCGCATGAAGCAGGCTGCGGAAAACCCGTGCATTTTTCTCTCCTGCAGTGTTTTCCCCACTAGTACGAAGTCAATTATGCCTTGGCTCCTGTGATTTGTGGGACATACGAGGAAATGGTTTCATGTTAGAAGAACGCGGCAAAACATGTTTGTTTTGCACAAGGCGCAACACATAAGTGTGTGCATTCTGAAAGCCAGTATTCACGGCGTGCTTTTGTCGCTTTGGAATTGTTCCTGGGGCGCACGCTTCATTGTCGGCACAGAATAATTTGGCACCCAGCTTGATGTGAATTGCAAAGTTACACCTCGGCTGCATCGCTGCTATGATCTGCAGCATGATGCTTGTAGGATAACTCTCGTTTCGTTTTGACAATCATTA